CTCCTCACACGTGTGGGGTCGTTGTGTGCGAGTGCCCAAATAAGAGGATATAAAATTCAAAAGTTTGCCACCTATTCCGAAAGAGGACAATTTCAAGAGGAGAAGGGCATGGTCAACACGGTCAAAAGCCTTAGTGAAATCGAAATATACTGTGTAAAGAGCAAAACCATGGTCCCTAGATTGGAGAACATAGTCAAAGAAAGAGAGTTGACGGGTGTTACAAGATCGAGCTTTGAGGAATCCATGCTGAGCAGCACTCAGTAAGTTATTCGCTGTTAAGTGACACATCATCTTATCCTTCATCAATGTCTCTAAGATCTTCGAAACTGCTGGGAGGGTGTTTATTGGCCGAAGGTCATCAAATGATGTAGATTTTCCGTGCTTAGGAATGGGCAAAATGTGTGATTCCTTCCACAAGGTACAATAAGTTTCACTTTCAAGAGCGAGATTAAATATCTTGCATGAGAGGGATGGGAAGATCGTGTTTGCATCGGTTTTTAAAATGCTTACTGGGACACCATCAGGGCCTGGACTATAAGATTGACGAAAACGCCGAATCGCAACAGTCAAATCCCACAGAGTGAAAGTTATAGTTTCTAGAACTGCCCCGGTCAATGACTGGATGGTCGGAAGCGGAGTGGTCGAGTCTTCAATAAACGTTTTGGACAGGAAATCATTGAAGCTATCCGCGGTTAACTGGGCATCAACTATGGGATGTCCGAGATCGTCTCGAAGGATGGGATACTGCGTCTTTCTCTGAGTTCGTATTTTTCTAGAGAAAAGTTTCGAGACACTTAACGAATGGTTTTCGGTAAAGTGGACCTCTTCGGCTAGCTGTTTTTCTTCAGACAATCTCTTACCTCGATCAAAAATATCACAAATCAAGGGCAGAACAGAAACAGCGTTCTGCAGATGGAAACGACGATAAAGCCTGCGCAATCTGCGACGAAAGGGTAAAGGTAGGAAAACCTCATCCCCAACATTAATAATTTTCTGACGGGGGACAAAACGAGAAATAAACGGACCCAAAGTATTTGTACAGTTTTGCAGTGCAAACATTTACATCCGAACTAAGGAAGAACTCAGTCCAGTCGTAGGAATTAAGGTGTGTTAATAATTCGGTTGAGCGAGTTGATCGGAAATCGCGGAAAAAGTTATACTTTTGGGACGACATTTCGTCAGCCTCGAATTCCAACGTTGAAACAACTATGTCATGGTCTGAGCCCCCGAGTGGGCCTAGGGATGACACTGACGATGGCAGGCAGCCTCTACAGGAAATTAGGTCAAGTATACTTGAGCCTCGGGTGGGAAAATCGACAACCTGATTCCACATCCCAACATCAACAGCCTCAAGAAAGTCATCGAATCGTCTGGGGCCTGAGGGCGGAGACCAGCGGACATCAGGGAGATTAAAGTCACCCGCAACCAGTTGATACTTAAAGCTTAAGTCGGCCGCAGCATGAAATGCCTGTGAGAGTAAACGATCAAAATTGTCATTGGCGTTGGGAGGGCGATAGACGCAGCCAATGAGTAAGGAGAACTTATTTTTTAGTGCAACCTGGAGCCAGCAGCTGCCTTCTACTGCGGAAAAGTGCGGGAGGTCCAACGGCAAAAATGTAAGTGTTTGCTTAACGTAGACGCAGCTGCCCCCACCACGGCTATCTTGGCGATCATTTCGAATGCAATTGTAGCCTAGAAGAGAGTGTTCGGAGTCAGCTACTGAGGCTGATGCCCACGTCTCACTTACTAAAACAATATCAGGACAATGGACGAACACCTGAGTCCGAAGCAAAGGCATCTTATTAAACAAGGATCTGGCATTTAAAACAAAAAGTTTAAAGGGAAAGGCTGTTAGTTTTTGAGGGAGGTTTGCTACATCGTCCAGTTCTGGGTCGCCCACGGAGCAAACGGTCCGGATGCAACCATCCGGTTCTGCAAAACATTTTGTGGCATCAAAAAAATTCTGACGTGGATAAAAAGGGGTAGGACTTGGGGGAGGGAATGACGGGCAGGTAAACTGGTAACTATTGTTAGCTAACTTATTTTCAACTGGAAATCCGCGGGGCAGATACTGCAACGTATTCCCGCCGGAACGAAACTGAGGATCGGATGAATTAACTGACTCAGTATGGACATTATCATGAGGAATAAATTGGTAAAACGGCCGTGGAGGAAACATGATAGGTTTGGTTGATCTAAGAGAAGGCGGCGTAACCCTAAATGGAATTGTACTACCTTTCTTTTGGATCGGAGTCTTACTCAGTTTTGGAGTCTCACAATTCTGACACCAGGCCACAGGCAGCTTAACTGTAGAGCTTGCAGCATCCTGTTGAACTGAGGAAGTTATCAGTCTAGCTGATGTAGACGAATTTTTTTGGCGTCTAGGTGGCTATCTGCAGGACTGGGAACGACAACTGGGGCTACTGCTGCCATCTTAGGGGCAGGCGAATGCGTCAAGTGGCCTTAGTGAAGGGGGGATACAGGAGTAAGAGGAAGAAGGGAGTCAGATGTCGGAGGAGTAGCATCGGCTGAATCCTCACGGCCACTTTTATTATGACCGAGGTCGTAAGAATTAGACTAAGATGCCGTGGGTTTACGTGGGAAGAGAAACCCGATTCTACGCTCAATGGGAGTAAGACCAGGACAAGGCATATATTTTGCATTTTCCAATTACACAAAGAAACGATCTCGATGGGCAAAGATTGAGCAGACCTCGACTGGTGAAAACAACCTAACTAAGATGGGCAGATTTTTGCTACGGAAGGACAAGCCTTTTGCATCGGCTATTTTATAGTTGAAACCCCACGAATACAGGAAATTATTCGTAAAATTAACTGGCCGAGCAGATCGAGGAACATTTTTTAACAAAAGTTGTAAGCACGCTTTCGTCTATCACTAGATTGAATGGCGATCAGGTGAACAATTGAGTCCAGACGCCTACATTATTGAGAGGGAATGCCGGAGATATTCCCGTCGAACAATATTCCAAGAATGGAGAGCAAAGTGTCAAAGTTTAGCATAAAATCATCGTAGTTGTAAAGTGCGGGCAGGTTAAGCTGCCTATCGTTTACAACGTGTGACGACTGACTAGTAATACCTTCTGACTTAGATTTAGTTAAGCCATGCTAACCTGCAGAGACCGAGAGCTCATGCCGACCTGTGACTTTGCTCTCATCTTGTCTCAAAGCAAATTGCAATTAAGAAAACTTCTGACAGTCCAGGTGACAGTCCAGACTGACGATGTAAAAAAATTGAACAGTTAGAGAGGAATCGAGTGCATAAAATGTGGATTGCAGAGTGAGACTGGTAGTGACAGGCACAAACTAGCAGAACTCAAACAGGAGATGGCAACAGGTAGTTCTGAGTGAATAGGCCTGTATTTAAGGTAATTTAACCAAAAACAGTGCTTAAATGTTTAGGTATCTCAGAAAAACTACTTAAACTAATATCTTCCACTTATCTGATGTGCCGCCTTCAATTGGGTCTCCAAAGTCATTGTCATTTAATATTAAGTATAATTAATTATGTGAAAGTATGGAAAGTCATCCAAAGTGCTTTCGAAGAAGCGGACCTCTAAGAAAACTTTTGACACCTGGAAGAATGGTCTCGCAGATGACTCCTATCACTCAACTAGAGCAAGTACATGCACACTACGTACCTGAAATGGAGCAAAAGCCGCTAATACGCAAGCCGCAAGCGGGCATTCACAGTTTTCAATGAAGAACACTTCTTCGAAGCTTTTGCCACATTTGTAAAGCTGCATCTTGAGTACGTGATACCAACCTTGAGACCGTGGATGCAGCAAGTTTTCCGCTTACTTGAATGGGCGCAGAGGCGTACTACCATACGAAACCGGTTTAATTAACATAACTCCTATTCTCTGAGTTGTGAACAGCTGAGTGCAGACGTGATATAGACTTTCCATATGGTGCATAGTTCGGGCTGTGTCTCTAATATGAATGCTGCGTCCGACTCGCCACACAAACAAACTCCGGGGCTTCCCTTCAAAGTACGCACGATGCAAGCATGACTGGATGTGCAAAAGCATTCTTTCTAAACCACGTAGTCAAACTTTAAAATAAGCTTTCCAAGACAATTTTTATATCTCAGTCTATGAAGACATTGAAACGTCACCTTGACTGGCAGATACTGTAGCAACAAGTGAACTACGTAACTGGGTGAAAGTACAAAAAATGTACTTATGTGGAGGTAAGCATACTTTTACTTAATACGTTAGCTTCCTCAGACTATTGCTTATCCTTTCGGTTAGTATGTGACAAATAGAGAATTCAAAGACGTAAACTTATTTCTATTTTGTGCACTAAAATGAAAAATATACATCACATGTCTTAAAGGTGCATAACTCTCTTTCTAGAAACCGAAATCCTCAACCCTCCAGATGGCCGTCGGACCTAAGAAGTAGAAATCCTCACTTCACGTGTTTTAGACACTTTGCAGAAATGCGAATAGTTTAAGTTAATAAATTGAATTTGTTTTGAGGTCATAATATCTTTTAAATACTCACGAATAATGAGTACACAAGAGGGATCAGAGCTCATGGCGGATAAGACTGATGAGCAGTTAGCAATCGCCATTGAAGAACCAAAAGACAAGTAGCCTTTAATTTTTGATATTTATTTCAAGATTCCATTATGTCTATATTATCTTCTTCTTTATCGGAATGGGAACACTCTTGCCTTGGAATTTCTTCATCACAGCTGATTCAGTACTAAAAATATTTTGGAAATTTTCTTTAGTATTTTAAATATCAACTACGAAACAGAAGCCTTTCGACCACGGAAAATCCCTTAGCACCGGAACATCGGACTGAGGAGCAAAAATTGTTTGCCAATAACATCGCACTTTGTACAATGATCCCATTAGCGCTTACCAATTTCGCAAACCTAGTTTTAAAAGAATAGTAAGACTTTTCATTGCGCAAACGTTTAAGTGTCAACGTCCCTATACGAGTTTTTTCCTCCGGGCTGTTGGTGCTAGGCATGTTCACCGTCACTGTCGTCCTTACCAAAGTGACCGTCGGTAAGACATTTTCCTTCTCGCAGAAGCGGTTGTAGAACCTCAGATATTCTTTGTTATCACACTTATCTCCGTTGTGTTCATAAACAGTAGGTGCTCTTCCTTCACTGTATCATCTTGAGATCAGTTGGATGTTCCGTTGTTCAGGGAAGCACATTCGGCATTTTATCAATGCTGCCCGAATCAAATGCTCGGGGATTTTTAGAGGGACAGGTATGTTTAAGGATTAATTATGCTACTTAATTAGATAGAATATTTGTTATATACGGGAAAAGATTTTGGGCTTTTCAATATTAATGTGTCGATGTCCTACGTAGGACGTACGTCTCTTCTAAACACTTCAGCAAGTAAAACGTAGTCAGAGGACATTTTTTCTGTCCAATAAAAGTTTAACTGTTTAATATTTTGATATTTTAATGCTAATAATTCGTTGCAGCAATAAAATAAATAGATTCAACCAGTTCAAATTTTCCGTGTACTGACTATTTTTCCTGAAACTGAAGGCCGTTGCGGGGATAAGTGCTGCCGTGGCAAACATAATAACAATATCCGTGTCAGCAGACTGGACGAATGTCGGCCTCATATATTTCCTTATCGCGGTCTTCATCATTGCCCTCACACTACTGCTATATGTCCTGCTATTCCGCTCAGTAAGTGGCAACTAAACGCCTTTTTG